AAGTTGAAATATATTCTTACTTGTACAAGTTTTGTATCTAACCTTATTTGTGAACAATATACATTATTATAGGTATCTTTGATTAAATCTTGTGTATAATTCACTTATGGTAGGTATTCTTTTTTAATAAAAATATATTTAAATAAACATTTTGTATCTTACAAAATCGATAGTTCATATCCAACGATCCCTTACTATTGAAAAAATATTTATTATAAATTTTACTTTAGAGCTAAAAATATTTTTTTAGAAACATGTGATGTATAAAACGAAGGCATTCTGCGTTGTTCATAATTGGATAATGTGTATGCGCTATATGTAATTACAGATAATTATTGTATTTAAATTTTCAGTCAAATATTTATAATATCATCTATCATTTATTTTGACTATTTTGATTTCAACAGGCTTCCTGTTTGGTTAAAGAACATAGAAAATACTCTTTAGAATATCTACAAAAAAAAGAAGTAATAGCTACAACTGTCAAATTTTAGAGAACCCGTTCTTTGTATGGTAATTATCTCAATTGATTGGATCCATTTGATGCATTGTTCTTTAAAATAGAGCATTAAGGACCAAAAACAGCTTCTTTGTAATATGAGATGGTATCGATTATCTCCGGAGTTATTTTCTCATTAGTGTATGCATTGAAAGAACATGATTTGAAATGGTATATATGTCTAGAAATAATGCCTAATTGAATTGTACTTCGTCTTTACTATGACTTAATTCTCATTTGCTTATTTTCAAACCTTTTTATGCATTTTCTTTTTGCTTTTGCAAATAATAGAAGATGTTATTTGTATTGTATGCCAGAATACAATTATTCAGATTTTTTTTACTACTTTTCTTTATTTAAATAGTAGTAATTTAACTACAAAATTATTGAACATTTAGAAAAATAAAGGCCAAATTACTTTTAAACAAAAATTATTTTGTGTTCTGTCATAGCTAAACTTAATTTTATTCTTCTTTTTACCATTTTTTTGCCTTCTCAACCGATTGAATTTTACTGAATCAATGAATTCCTAGCTATAAAATAAGAGTGTGAAAATAAATTAAATTTAAGAGTTAGACTAAGTATTGCATAATGCAACAACGAACTAACATGGTTTAAAAGGTTGAAAGAATAATACTAATTTTAATTTAAGATGAGAAATTATTTTTGATTTGTGAAGAGCAACGATATACAATAAATAATATTACATATCTGAATCTCATTAAGTAAAGTCAATAATAAAAAATATGTAATAATAAAAGTCTTCTGAGCAACATAATGACCTGTTAAAAATAGAAAGAAATTTCTCATGTAGAAAGTTTTCAATAATTAAAATAAAATAGAAAAAAATATCGTTAATAGACGTAATACAAAATAAAAAAATATGAAAACATTAGATAAAAAAGTAAATGAGGAAAACTAATCAAAACATCATAGTATAAAAAATATACAAAATAGGGCACAGAAATTTTAAAAATAAAATAAAGTAGGAAATACAAAATTATTATTTATATATTAAATATTCGAAAAACTGTTAACAATATAAGAAACAAAAAAATTAAAAAATTAGGAGAAATAAAAATGTATATCGATATATAAAATGGAGTAATGGACAAGGATACTAACTAGGGGTGTCAATGGATATTTGAAAACCGACGACACTGACCGAACTGTACCGCACAGAACCGATTTAAAGGTTTCTTTTAAAGAAACCGTAGGTTTTTATATAAATATATAACCGTACCGATAATTAGGGTAGGTTTTTTTTTTATAAAAATAAACCGAAAAAAATACCGAACCGTACCGAATAAATTTTATATGTGGAAAAGATATTTATATAGCAAGTTTAAAACTAATAAAGCATTAAATTTTTCATTGGGTCTTGGAATTTTGAAAATTGTTATAAGACAACAAGTAACTAAACTCAAAGTAGTAATTCCTAAAACCTATTATGCTACTTATAGTTAAACTAAGTTATTTCAAGCATCTTTATTAGCAAGACACAAAGTGTTCTAGCGATTATGAGTAGCAAACTACAATATATTGAATATGTTTCCTTTCATACAATTTTGATTTATCTTTTTGAATATTTAATATAAACTTTATTCTTGAGTCCCGGCTTGGTTAATATCTTTCCACTCATGTGATTTATATTTTCTTTGCTTTTACTTGGTTTCTTTTACGTTGCTGTCGAATAGTTGATGGATCTATACTCTAGCCATCTTTCATATTTTTTTAATTCATCACCTTTAAACAGTAAAAATGTTTTTAGAGTTTTGCTAAGTCATGTAAAAGAACATATGTTATTGCATTCTACTTCTACTGGTGAATTTTACATGATATTTAAAAAAATATCGAAAATTAACCGAACCGTACTAATACCGAAGTGAAACCGACATGATTGGGACGGTTTCGAAAAGTCTAATTTTGGTTATACATAATAGAATAACCGAAAAATTGGTATGGTACAAATTTTATAAAATAACCGTCCGAACCGAACCATTGACACCCCTAATACTAACCCATTAATAAAAGCTTTTATATCTATGTAGTAATACGAAATAGCCCATAATGTAATAAATTAAAGTAATAAATAGAAAAGTTAATTAAAGCTATATAATTAGTTTCCTTTAATTTTATTTATTTTTGGTTACACTACATTAAAGATACAAAATAACAGTTGATAATTTTATTAAAATAATATGATTAATATTTTTTTTTAATGTTATTCGCGCATAGCGCGGATTCTAATACTAGTAAAGATGAACAAATATGCATGTAGCTAAATAAAACCAGTTTTTCTTTTTAGTTGGGGATAAAATACTATATCAAAACTTTGGGTCCATTTTTGTAATCTTTTGGACAGAATGAAACATAGTTTGTTCAAAAGATCTTATTCCTCCTTTCCCCTGTTTGAAGTTGAAATCAGAAGCGTAAAGTTAAATTCATCATTCCCTCTCATTTCCTTAGGTCCAACGTATCCATTAAATTCAAATTAAAGAGAGCAGGGGTATTCATAAAAATCCGAAAAATCGAACCAAACCGAAAACCAAATCAAAATCGATACTTTTTGGTTTGGTTTGGTTTTGGTTTTAAATTTTAAAAACCGATCAAATTTGGTTTTGTTTTGGTTTTAATCAGAAAAAAACCGGAAAAAACCGAACCAAACCGACTATAGGAATAGCTATTTCAAATTTATTATTACACCTATATACATGTATATTTTTATACAAAGTTTCAAAAATTTAATGGTAAATGTTAATAGTTTGCACTTTTAGTATAGTTCTTTACATTTACATTCTAGTTTGATTGGTAGGTTTCTTTTGTTAAGTGTAAGAATCCATTTCGTGTTAAAAATAATATATTTTTAATTGAGTCCTTAAATATTCATCAGTATTTGATTCAATTATCATCAATATATCTTGGTAAATAATAGATTTCTCAAAGGGCAATTGATTTGATAGTGTTACGTTGAAAATGTAGTTGCCGGAATATATGTTTGATAGTGTATGTCTTATATTTAAGAAAAAACCGACAAATAACCGAAAAAACCGAAAAACCGACATGATCCGAATCGAGAAAAAACCGACTTAAATGGTTTGGTTTGGTTCTAATATTTGAAAAATCGACTTACTTGATTTGGTTTTTTTAAGAGAAAAACCGATCCAAACTAAACCATGAACACCCTAAAAGAGAGGAGGAAAAAAAAAAGGAAATGCCAAACTGAATATTTCAAGGTGGCATTTGGAATAGAATTTGGTTTTGTTTATTTTTTAATCCTCTGGTGGACCTCCCTTATTCAATCAATCAGCATCACATTTAGAAAAATGGGTTTGGCATTTTTTCATTCTCTGGTGGACGTCTCTTGTAATCTTTAACTATGACGAATTGACGATGACTTCATGGACTTTTAAAATGCCAAACCCGTTTTTCTAAAAAAATGTTGTTGTTACAATTAAGAAAGGCAAACGGGCGGTTCAGTTCAGATATGATTCAGGTTGAAGGAAGGGTAATGAAAAACGGACAAAATATCCGAACCGATCCATATTTAATACGGATGAAAAACGGCTTAAACCATATTATCCATGACTTCTTAGTCTGCCTAACTTGAGGAACTCTCAATTTGAAGCTTTATAAATGTAAAAGTTAGACCCATTGGTTATCCATTTGCTAAATGGATAATATGGTTCTTATCCATATTTGACCCGTTTTAAAAAAATTCATTATCCAACCCATTTTTTTAGTGGATAATATGGGTGCTTAACTATTTTCTTTTACCCATTTTCTTTAGTTTGCAAGAATTCAAACTAAAGTTTTTTGGCTAGTCAAAAGAAAGTTTTTTGATCTATTTAAATGAGCCCTACATGATACGACTTTAGATTAATGGGGACATCATTTCGAATACCTTCACCAACCAACCAGTAAATTGATGATAAATTATATTGATTTCTCATGATGTAGGAAAAAAGGAAAATGATGTTTGAAGAGTTTTCGAACAACAGAAAACAATTGCTTAGTGAGTAGTGACTATAGCTATAATTTCATTCCCTATGGCACTGGGGTCGTTCTCCGATGAGCTTTCAGTCCTGATGTCATCTTCTTCGTCATAATTCAGCTCCTATAAGTTTTAAAAAAATTAAAATCAATGTCAACAAAAGAAATAGAACAGGCCTTGTAAACTTGACTTAATGCGCTAAAAATAATTAGATTTCAATCAAATAAATAAATAAATAAATTGTGATTGTAGAAGAGGATGCTAGTAAAACAATATTCTACTTGCCTTGGGCTGATATCCATTCATCTTCTTTTCTTCTTCCTTCTCCCTGAGAGTTCGAATCGGAGAAATTTTCTGCTGCAATACCACCATAGTCAATTTGTCAATCAATCAATTTCGTCTCAATCTCAAATAGTCCATTATTTGGATTCTGTTTATCTGATGCACCATACTCATGTTCATTTTATTCCAATTAAAACCTGCCAGCAGTTCTTTACATTAGACACATCCTTACACAGCTTCAATAGGAAATTTCCTTAATCTCTTTAATGTTCAATTTTTATTACCATCAAATTTTTAGATTTGTTTTTTTTATTTTGGTTGCAAACACTAATCTGAAATTTTATACTTTTCATTTTTGGTCAAGCTAAAAGCAATCAGAAAAAATAAATAGAGTTACCATGCAGGATAATCTGAGCTCTTTCAATCGGAAAAGGCGATCGACTTCAAGCTCAAGCTCTTTCTGCAGCTCTCCTCTGTTGAACAACTCTTTCATCTGCAAATCCAGCAACAGATCCCTTTCTTTCAACATCTTCTCCGTCTTCTCTCTATCGATTCTCAGTCTCTCGAGCTTCTCACGAATGGCGCTCAGCTCCTCAGCTAATGATGAATCGAATGGTACTTCCGCCTGAATGCAGGGCAGTAGCTTTTCTCCTTTTGGATGGAGATTCTCTTTGTTTGAGTTTTGGGTTAGTGAGATTCCTATCGATTGTAGAGTTTTGGGCTTGGGATGATTATTGGGAGTTGCCGGAGTATTAGTATTCTTGGGCTGAAGGGGTTTCCGGCCACTTTTTGGGCGGTGGATCTGATTGTCGGGGAAAGGTGATGGTGGAGCTGTGGATGCCATTTTTCTAATTTGGTCTTTTCGAATTTGAAATGGTACAGGCGGACAACGGCTACTTATAAAAATTTGTGTTGCAGACTTTGAATGTGGCACCAGATTCATTATATATTAAATAATTTGATGGATTAAACTGACACAACAAGGCCCATTAGCTCAGTTGGTTAGAGCGTCGTGCTAATAACGCGAAGGTCGCAGGTTCGAGACCTGCATGGGCCATGCTTTTGTCAACTTCCACTTACTTTTTACTGGTTACATTTTTGTATGCGCTGGGGGAACGAACTATCTGCAGGTTTCATTCAAGATATGACTTCTTATTCTTTTCTTTCCAATTCCAACTACAAACTGAAACTACATTTTTATTAACTATGCAAAACGAGATTTAGTTTAAACAAGCATCCTTGAAAGTAATCACCCCGTTGCCTACAGATAGTATTTCATTATTGCAAATACTCAAACAATGATTTGGCCATCAGATTTTGTAGGCTGTAGTGAATAATAAAGAAACTTGATTGGAAAGTTTTTTTTTTTTAAAAAAAAATTAATGCTCAAAAAACTGCAATATTTTTTCAAATGAAATGCATGTCCAAACATAATTTTAAATTTCAAATACCTTTTTTCAACTTAACTCCACGATACTATTTTTTTTTCCAAAAATCACAACTTTTATGTCCTAACGCCTGCTTAAGTAACATATGACTTTTCCTCTAAATCTTAAACTATTCAAAGTTTCACCAAAGCCTAAAGCATTTTTTTTCAAAGTTAGAGCCCGTTTGGCCAAGTTGCCAAAAATTACTTTTTGCAAGCTCATCGTGTTTGGCCAATCTTTTAAAAAAGCACTTTTAAGTATCAAATTAAGAAAAAGGACAGTGAAGATTCAATTTTTGCGATTAATATTATTCAGAAAAGAAAAATAAATTTAAACATTTAGTAGAAAAGAATTCAATTAAAATATAAAACGTAAAGTAAAAATATAAATTAAAAATTCTAATTAATATAAATATAGTTATTCCAAAGCAACAATATTGAGTGTATGGTATTACTTATTATTTACAAGATAATTTAAATATGTCAAAATACATCATTCAATATAAATTTAAAATCTACTATTAAGAATAGGAGAAAGAGAATAAAAATTTGATTAAAATAAAAAAGAGAATAAATG